AGAAGTTTATTGGGGTGTGCTCCCGGACAAAACTCTACGAACTTCTGATGAGGCTAGGGTAGAGCTGCACCCTTGGAGAGACTAAGGGGACATTTAAGTTGTCTTGGGAGGGAAAAGGAGAGAAGGGAACAAAGACCAGGTGAACAGGTGTGCTTGGTCTGGCCTGTTATCTGTAGGGGATGGGTGTGAGAAAGCATGGGATGCAGCCTGGTGGCTTCCTGTCCAGGTGGGCGATAAGTCCTGTCTTCCACACTATGGGGCAAGGTGATCTTTTTTTTTTTTTCTGGAGCAATAGCACAGCGGGTAGGGCATTTGCCTTGCATGCAGCCGACCACTGGCCAACCTGAGTTTGATTCTTCCACCCCTCTCAGAGAGCCCAGCAAGCTACTGAGTATCTCGCCCGTACAGCAAAGCCTGGCAAGCTACCCGTGACGTATTCAATATGCCAAAAACAGTAACAACAAGTCTCACAATGGAGACGTTACTGGGCCTGCTCGAGCAAATCAATGAACAACAGGAGGACAGTGCTACAGTGCTATTTTCTTTTTGGGTCACACCCAGCGATGTTCAGGGGTTACTCCTAGCGGTGCTCGGGGGACCATATGAAATGCTGGGAATTGAACCCGAGTTGGCCATGCACAAGGCAAAAGCCCTACCACTGTACTATAGCTCCAGTCCCGCAGGTTGATCTTTGATTCTGGGAATGTCACTATTTCATCCACCAGCCGCCATCTTGAGCAAACCTTACACATATTATCCAGGATGTGCTGAAGCTTACCAGCCACAGAGCAGTAGCGTCAGGAATCAGATCCTGGGGCTCAGGAATGTGACCCGGTGGTAGAGCACCTCCTCTGCTTGCCTGGGAGCCCGTGTTTGACCTCCTGCACAGCCCCACATCTCAGAGTTGCAACTGCTCCTGCAACCCTGGACACCGCAACAATGACAACACAGGGAGGAAGGGCAAGCAAGAGAGCGGGCAGAGTTGTATCCATCTGTGAAAGACCTTCTGGGCCTGGGCAGCTCGAGGTTAGGCTGGTTGGAAGAGCTGAGTGAACCGTGCCTGTTTAGGCCCACCCAGTTGCTGGCCCCTGACCCAACACACAGCGCTGCTCCACTTCTTTTTTCCTTTTTTTTTTTTTTTGGCTTTTTGGGTCACACCCAGCGATGCTCAGGGGTTACTCCTGGCTCTGCACTCAGGAATTACTCCTGGCGGTGCTCAGGGGACCATTTGGGATGCCGGGGATCAAACCCATTTCAGCCACAAGCAAAGCAAAGACTCTACCCACTCACTCCAGCCCCCTCCTCTTTCTTTTTTCTTCTTAGTTTCACCACACTCGCCTGGCACTCAGGGACCTCCAGCAGCGCTGGCCACTGGCAGCTCTTGGGCGACATGCTGAGATTCCACTCAGGACAGCAGCAGCAGCTGCATGCTAGACTAACATGCTGACCTTTGAGCTATCTCTCCACCCTTGTGTTTAGTGGTAAAGTGAGGCCAAATCAACCAAAGAACCATAAAAAGGTCTCTGACCTCTAAGGAAGGATTACAGGACCTGTGGTGACAGACCAAAGAGCTGGCAGGCTGCCTCATTCAGGGAAATACAAGGGCCAGGGCTGTGCACCCCACAAATTCCAAAGCAGTTCTGACAGTGACTCTGCAGGACTTAGACTCCATGCCAGGGTTTTCTTTATTTTGGCTGATTTTAGTTTGGGGCCACATGCAGAGCTGCTCCGGGCTTGGTCCTGGCTCTGTGCTCAGGGATCCCTCCTTGCAAGACTCAGGGAACATTATTGAGCACTCGGGTTTGAACCCAGGTCGGCCACATGCAAAGCATGGGCCACCTGCTGTACTCTCTCTGGTCAATGTTTCCCCAGAGTGGACAGATACCACCACACAAGGGTGCTGGAATGTTGGGGATGGGGAGGGCAATAGTAACTTTGGAGCAATTGGAGGGCATTTTGCTTAAAGATCACTGAGTTATTCCCCTGAAAGAGGGGCATTGGACCAAATAAGTTTGGGACCCTCTGTTGTACCTCCCAGAAGCAGCTTGGGTTTCAGCAGTGAGTGCCACTCTCAGCAGGGTTCTCCCCCTTCCACTGAGCTCTGCCGCCTGGTTGCACAGAACAAGGCATGCGTTCCCCAGACCTACTGACTAGCTCTGCTGTCCTGGCTTCCCTTTTCCTGGGGTACCTGAGGTGCCTAGTGTGACAAGACACTGATTTTGAATGAAGAGCTGAAGAACTTGAGGAACTTGTACTGCCCAGAACTCCCTTCCTGATACATCTCCTTAAACAGCCTAGGGAGCCACCCCAATTCCAACCCTCACAAACCTGTCTTTGAACCAGCTGCACTAAAAACTGCTTGTCCGTGGTCTCCACTAGAAATCAAGTCCCCTGTGGGCAGGACTGTATTCCAGCTGCGTCTCTTGCAGCCTGCAGCATGCGATGCAGTGAACCAGCCAGCCATGTTGGAGATAAGGAGGGGCAGAAGGACCCCTCGTCCTCCCATCCCCACTCCCCTCTCACTCTTTCATGGACCCAGAGCTGTCCTCTTCAGCACTAAGCACTGAAATATGCTCCCTCCTCTGGAGGCTTAAAATTTGTTTCTCCTGACTACAGCAATAGGACAGCTAATAAGGCGTTTACCTTGTACGTGGCTGACCTGCGTTCAATCCCCAGCACTCATTTGGTTCCCTGAGTACCATCAGGAGTGATCCCTGAGCACAGAGCCAGGACTAAGCCCTGAAGCATAGCAGGGTGTGATCCAACCTCACACAGACACACAGACACACAGACACACACACACACACACACAATAATTTCTCTAACCTCTCTTGTCTCTTTGAAACTATTTTTTGCTTTTTGCTTTTTTTTTTTCTGCTTTCTGAATGATAGCACAACGGATAGGGCATTTGCCTTGCATGTGGCCAACCCGGGTTCGATTCCTCTGTCCCTCTCAGAGAGCCCAGCAAGCTACAGAGAGTATCCCGCCCACACGCCAGAGCCTGGCAAGCTCCCCGTGACATATTCGATATGCCAAAACAGTAACAAGTCTCACAATGGAGATGTTACTGGTGCCCGCTCGAGCAAATCAATGAACAACGGAAGGACAGTGCTACAGTGCTACAGTGCTACAGTGTGTTTTGGGTCACATCTAGTGATGCCCAGGTGATGCTCAGGGGTTACTCCTTGCTCTGCACTCAGGAATTAACTCCTGGCAGTGCTTGGGGGACCATATGAGATGTCAGGGATCAAACCCAGGTCAGCAACGTGCAAGGCAAACACCCTACCCACTGAACTATTGCTCAGGTCCCCAACCTCACCTGTCTCTTTATGAAGTCACAGAGCAAGAGAAATTCCTGCTTAACCCAAACCTTGACTTTGCTGAAGGATTCAAATGGAGCTCTTAGATCTACAGAAGGTTCCCAAACACATGGAATTCTGGGAGGAATTAGTTCTCATTCTAGTTCTGCCACTTTGCTGTGTGCATCTAGTGAGACACTGTCCCCCTCGAGACTTGCTTTTCTGTAGGGGGGGGGAGAGAGAGAGAGAGAGAGAGCACAAATGAGGTTGACCAGTTGACCACATCTTTCTTAAAAAGCACAGGGGCGGGGCTGGAGCAGTAGCACATCGGGTAGGGCATTTGTCTTACATGCGGCCGACCTGGGTTCGATCCCCGGCATCCCATATGGTTCCCCAAGCACCACCAGGAGTACTTCCTGAGTGCGTGAACCAGGAGTAACCCCTGAACATTGCCGGGTGTGACCCAAAAGCAAAAAAAAAAAATTAAGCACAGGGGCAGGGAGGGAGCCAGAAGCAGCACCTAAGCCCCCTGAGGGGAGGACCAAGAGCTGTGTCTGCAGACAGCGCAGGGCCACCTGGGTACAGCGTGCTCAAGACCTACAAGCCCTGAAGGTGGTGTGGAGGGTGTCCTACCACAGTAATGGCCCACCCCCAAGTGCGTGTGGCTTTGACTCCCCAACCCTCAGGCACAACACGGTCCCCACTCAAAAGTAGCCTGTGTGGGGAAGCTGGACCAAGAGGTGAGGCGGGAGGAGAGAGTACTAGGGGGCCATTTCAAGCTCCTTCACAAAGTGCCAGTGGGGGCATCCCTGGTGCCCCTGCAGTGGAGAGGACAGGGGCCTCTGTGCCCAGAAGCCTTGCTGCGGGCGCTGTAGGCAGGATGCGACTTCTCCCCAGGGTCTCTGGGCACCACTTCCGGCCCTGCCCCCTGGATTTGGGGGCCCATGCCAGCCCCTCCCTGTGCAGCTTCCCTCTCCCCCACCGCTGGCCTCTCCCTCCCTCAGTCTCCATATCTATTTCTCCCTGCCTCCTCCTCCTCCTCCCCTGCTGCTCCCCTCCTCACCGCCCCTCCCCAGTCCCAGAGAGGGGCTCCCCAGCTCTCACCCCGGCACCTCTTCTTTTGTATTCTTCACTCCGTTCCCAGCGTCTCTCCTCCCCCCACGCGGGCTCCGGCCTCCCCCAGCCTCCCCATCTTCAGCTCAGTCTCCTCCCCCTCGTTCCTCTCCCCTCCCCTCGGCCTCACCCCACTGCCTGCCTGCTTCTCTGGGTTTCATTCCATCCCGGGGGTCTGAGTGTCTCTCCTGCCCCTCTCTCCTCGCCCCCTCCCTGCCGCAGGTGGAGCCCCAGACCTTTCCGGCCTGAGCCTCCCTCCCCCTGCGACCCCCCCCCCCTCGCCCATCACCACCCTATCTCCAGGCCCTCCTTCTCCCCAGCCTCTCCTCTGCTGGCTTCTCCCTGCCCCTTTAAATCTGCCAGGCCCTGCCTCCCCCGTGATGCTGGGATGGAGCAAACATTGATTTGTGCTGGGATGGAATCAGAATTTTGATTTTTCTCCTCCTCTCCCCACCATAAGCAGGGGGGAAAAATAAAATAAAAATACCCCCTCTTGATAGCCCCCCCTCCCTTCCCATCCAGCTCCTTGCTCCTCTTCTCTCTCCATCCAAGGCAGATTTTTTTTTCCCTACACTATTCTCATCTCCCCGCCCCCCCAGCACCACCACCGCCTGCTCTTCAGCTGGGGAGAAGGGACTCTTCTGCGGCTCCCCCGCTCCCCCACCTTCGCTGGCTCCCGGGCTCGGAGCCGTCTCTCCGGAAGGGGAGGGGGCTCGGCGCGCCCGGGCGAGGTGGGAGTGCAGGTACCCCGCCATGGATGCGGTGCTCCGGAGGCTGCCTGAACCCCAGCCCACATGGTGAGTAACCTGCCCTCCCTCACCCCGTCCGCCCATCCCCACCCTCGCCTTTCCCGGGAGGAGCTCCCCCATCCCCAGCCTCCCCCCCCCCACCCCACCAAACCCTCTGCCCGCCGCGGGCCCCGACCTCTCCCACCCCACCCCCCTATTTTCAACCCTTCTTGCACCGGGGCAGCTGGGGAGGTGGGTGGCCTACGGCGCTGCCCAGCCCCTCTCAGGACCACCCTTCCCCCTCCCTCCGTCCCCCCCAAAAAAAACACCCTGCCACCCCACACTCCTTGGGTCCTAGGTGGGAGAAGTGGGACTCCCGCTGGAGGCTGGGTCCCCAGAACCGGGGAGGGGCCCTTTACCAGAACGGAGAGGGAGCCCTGGAGCCTCCCAAGCTTTGGGGATGCTGGACCAGGCGCTGCCTAAAGGGGGGGCGGGGGGGCGGTGCTGATGCCCCGGAGCCACCGGGCCAGGGAGCTGCGGGCAAAGAGGAGGGGCCTCGCCTGCCACTTCCCCCCCCCCCCTCTTTCTCCGCAGCCACTCAGGATGAGGGTCCGGCCCTGCCAGCCCGCGCTGGGGCCCCCCCGCCCGGCCGCGGTCTAACTGCCCCCGCCCCCAGGCCTCGCCCGGCTCGCAGGCCCCCAGCCGGCTCTCCCGCCCCAGGATGCGCTGAGCCGCCGGGGGGCTGAGGCCGCGCCAACTACATGCATGTCCCCCGGGGGCAAGTTCGACTTTGACGACGGGGGCTGCTACGTGGGGGGCTGGGAGGCGGGGCGGGCACATGGCTACGGCGTGTGCACCGGGCCCGGCGCCCAGGGCGAGTACAGCGGCTGCTGGGCGCACGGCTTCGAGTCGCTGGGCGTCTTCTCGGGGCCCGGCGGACACAGCTACCAGGGCCACTGGCAGCAGGGCAAGCGCGAAGGGCTGGGCGTGGAGCGCAAGAGCCGCTGGACGTACCGCGGCGAGTGGCTGGGCGGGCTGAAGGGGCGCAGCGGCGTGTGGGAGAGCGTGTCCGGCCTGCGCTACGCCGGGCTCTGGAAGGACGGCTTCCAGGACGGCTACGGCACCGAGACCTACTCGGACGGAGGTGCGCGGCCCGGCCCCCTGCTGCCTGCCTGCCTGCCTGCCTGCCGCCCCGAGCCCGTGCGCGCGCCCCCGCGAGCCGCTGCCCGGGCCCGCGTGTGCCCCCCCGCCCCGTCTGCCTGCCCCCCTCCCGCCCCCCGCGTGCTGCCGCCTGACCGTCTCCGACGCCCCATCCCTGCCCCCGTCCCTCCTCGTCTGCCCGCACCGCCCGCTGATGCCACCTGTCTCCCGCTGCCCGTGCCCGTGCCCGTCCCTCTCCTCCGCGCCCCCGCCCCGCCACCAGCCTGCCCTGTGGCCCCCAGCTCGCTCCCTTCCCCGCCCTGCGCACGGACTGGACACCGAGGCGTGCCTGCACGGGGGGCGCGGGGGCGCCGCGGGGGCCGCGGGCGCTAACCCGGCTGTCCCGCTCCCGCTCGTCCGCAGGCACCTACCAGGGCCAGTGGCAGGCCGGGAAGCGCCACGGCTACGGGGTGCGCCAGAGCGTGCCCTACCACCAGGCGGCGCTGCTGCGCTCGCCCCGCCGCACCTCCCTGGACTCGGGCCACAGCGACCCCCCCGACGCCGCCGCCGCCCCTGCCGCTGCCCGGCGAGGAGGGAGGCAGCCCGGCCTCGGGCTCGCGCGGCGGCTTCGTGCTGGCCGGCCCGGGGGACGCCGACGGCGCGGCGTCCCGCAAGCGCGCGCCGGCCGCCGGCGGCTTCTTCCGCCGCTCGCTGCTGCTGAGCGGGCTCCGGGCCGGCGGGCGCCGCAGCTCCCTGGGCAGCAAGCGCGGCTCCCTGCGCAGCGAGGTGAGCAGCGACGTGGGCAGCACCGGGCCGCCGGGCTCCGAGGCCAGCGGGCCGCCGGCCCCCGCGCCGCCCGCGCTCATCGAGGGCTCGGCCACCGAGGTGTACGCGGGCGAATGGCGCGCCGACCGGCGCAGCGGCTTCGGCGTGAGCCAGCGCTCCAACGGGCTGCGCTACGAGGGCGAGTGGCTGGGCAACCGGCGCCACGGCTACGGCCGCACCACCCGGCCCGACGGCTCGCGCGAGGAGGGCAAGTACAAGCGCAACCGCCTGGTGCACGGCGGCCGCGTGCGCAGCCTCCTGCCGCTCGCCCTGCGGCGGGGCAAAGTCAAGGAGAAGGTGGACCGCGCCGTGGAGGGCGCGCGCCGCGCCGTCAGCGCCGCCCGCCAGCGCCAGGAGATCGCCGCGGCCAGGTGGGCACCCGCGGCGCGCGGGGGCGAGGGGCGGCGGGCCCGGGGCCCGGCAGCGGGAGCCTCCGGGAGAGCGCGGTGGTGGAGAGCAGTTTTCGGAGGCTACAGGTGGAGGGAGGTGGGTGTGACTGTGTGTGCGCGCGTGTGGGACGGTTTGCGGGGAGCCCGGGAAACACCAGCCTGTTGTGTGTGGGAGTAGCCCGGGGTGCAGCCTTTGCAGCCCCAGACACCGCTTTCTTGCAAGAAGACGTGGGCCTTGTCTTCCTTGTTGTTGTTGTTGTTGTTATTGTTGTTTGGTGGTGGGGCGGGGGCACACCCAGCCGTGCTCAAGGCTGACTCCTGGCTCTGCGCTCAGGGATCACTCCTGGCAGGGCTTGGAGGACCATATGGGGTGCTGCGAATCAGAAGCAGGCAAGGCAGGTGTTCTACCCACTGTACTTTTCATTCTGGTTCCAGGGCCTAGTCTTGTTCTTCTCCCAGGCCTCGGGTTAGGAACAGCAGCACCCCACCAAGCCCCCCTTTGTGGCAGAGATAGGATTGTCTCTATCTGTCCCTGTCCCTGCCCACCCCCTGCCCGATGGCCTTTCAGCAGTGGGCCTTGCAGGTTCAATGTGGGCAGCTGACCTCTGCACCTCGGAATGAGAGCCCCTCTTGTCTTTGCCTCCCTTTATCCGAGGATGAAGGTTGGAAGGGCGGGGCCTGGCTGCAAATGAGATTTTTTTTTCTGTAAATCAGATTACAGTTGCATGCACAGGAACCTTGGTATCTAAAGCAGCGCTGTCCAGCAGGAACATGATGTAAGCCAGATACATAGTTTAGAATCTTCCAGTAGCCCTATGAAAAAAAATTAAACGAGATGAAACAGATTTGAACATATTTTTATTGAAACCAACATAGCCACAATATCATTTCAACTTACCATCAATATAGAGTAATGAGATCTTTAGCATTCCTTTTCCCCAAGCCTTTGAAATATAGTATGAATTTTCACTTGCAGTACCCCATTTTAATTCGGCCTGGCCACATTTCGGGTGCTTAATAGCAACATATGTCTTGTGACTGCTAGATTGGCTAACACAGATCTAAAAAAACCAAAAATCATTTGTAATGAAATTCAGCCAGTCCTGGTTTATGCAACTCACATATTTGAATTTTTTATATTAATCTTTTGAAGAGGGGAACAGGGCAACGTATCTATTAATCTTTTGAAGAGGGGGAGAAGGGTTTTTTTCAAATTTAAGGAGCCAGGGAGACAATATGGGGACTATGGCATATGCCTTGCATAGGGCCAACCCAGATTTTATCCTAGCACCAAATGGTCCCCTGAGCATCACTGAAAGTGGCCTTTCAGGTCCCTCAACAGTGCTTGGGTGACCCAACAGTTCCCAGAACTGCAGAGCCCAAGCAGCACTGCATCCTCACACGGACCTCTGATCCAACTGGCCAAGAATTGCCAGGAGGGACCCCTGGACCTCCTAACCACCCTTGGGAAGTGCCCCAATTTATTTAAACAAATAAATCTGAGATTGCTTCCGAGAGTCAGAGGATGAGATGTCCAAATTGCTGGAATGAGTTAGTAGGATGAAGGGCAGAGAGAGAGAGAGAGAGAAAGAGAGAGAGAGAGTGAGAGAGAGAGAGAGAGAGAGAGAGAGAGAGAGTCGTCCACAGTAGGTGCCAGAGCCCAAGCTGTCTTTTTGAAGATATATTCGAGTGCCTTAGTGGTTAGCATCTGGAGCCTTAAGCCAGAGAAGGGGGCGGGCTGAGCACCAGGGAGCACTTCAGGCTAGGTAGGGAACAGGCATGTGCTAGAAGAACTGATCTCAGTAGCTAGAGGATAAGGCAGTGGGAGGAGGCTGCGTGGTCTCCCCAGCAACAGGCCTGGCAGCCCTGATTGGCTGCTGGCTGCCATGGAAACAACAGCGCCTCAGCAGCAGGTGCCTTTGCCAGGTAGCCTGGGCCTGGCCTGCTGCCTGAGCACAACAGGCCGGGCCTGCTGCTCAGGCTCGTCGCTGCCTTCGTGCTACAAACACGGGCACTTGTCAGCACTCCTGTTTCTGGGAGCCAGGAGAACTCAGGGCTACCCGAGACCCTGGCCCCCATCTCCTGCCCTCTGCTCGGGTACCAGCTCCATCTCATACCGTCTGAAAGGCCAAAGACAGAGCAGGGGCTTCTGTGTCCCACACAGATACCCTACCCATCCTTGACCCCAGCAGCTTGGAGAAGAAGAAAATGCCTTTTCTTTTTTCCTCTTTTTTGGCTTTTGGAGAACCCCTGGCTCTGCACTCAGGGATCTCTCCTGGCCGTGCTCAGGGGACCTTATGGGATGCCAGGGATTGGACCCAGTTCTGCAGCCTGCCAGCCCTGCCCACTGAACTATCCTTCAGGTCCCCAGAAACTGAATCTTGTCTCCCACCCCCCTCCCCAAGGGCTGTACAAGAGGTGGGCTAAGGCCCAAGTTAACAGCTCCTTGCCCATCCTCAGACAGCCTCCAGGCAGGCCTGAGGCCAGAGGGAGGTAGGGGCTGGAGCCACTAAGCCCACATCTATTTCTTCCGACTTCTGCTCCAATGAGGCTTCCAGAAGCTCTGATCAGAGGACCTGCAGGATTAAAAGCAGAGAAGGGAAGGGCTGGGGGAAACAGAAGCATCACTTGACATGGTGGGTGGGGGCAGGGAGAGAGCGCAGACCACCCCACTGCGGGGGCAGGGCTGCTCATGCTATGCACGGGTGGCAGGACCCAAGGGTCACGGAGGGGGAGCAAGAGCTTCTCCAGAAAGTCTCACCCGAGGCCAGGAAGCATGCAGATAGAGGGCATGTTCCTCCCAGTAGAAAGGACGCAGGGCCAAGTGGGAGGAGGCCAGCATGACAGCAGAAGGGGCTGGAGGAGCCCAGTGTGGCACTCCAGGTCAGGATTAGATGATAAGGGTTTGGGGAGGGACAGACTCCTGACCCAGGGAGGTGGCAGACAGGCCCAGAAAGTGGCCAGTATGGGGGTTGAGCTGCTCAGAGTGGAGGATGGAGATTCGGGGCAATGCTGCTGTGTGCGGTGCCCCCCCCCCCCCAGGGAGCTGGCATGCGGGAGGTGTGCACAGCAGGTGTGACTTGCCTGCCAGGATCGGAGAGGTGCTAAGAGCAGAGTGTGAGGGCACCGGGAGGGGAGCCGCGTGGTAGGGAAGGCCCAGGGCCTTGGCCCCGCAGCTCCGCCCGCCCAGGAAGTGTTACTATAGGATAGAGCCCACAGAGGTGCCAGCGGAGGGGGGGGTGAGGACAGCCCCAGGGAGCCACCCCGGGGTGGGCCAGGGAAGGTGCGGGTTTCTGAGCTGAGCTCAGAGCTAGAGTAGAGGGTGAGGCGGGGACCTGGGCTCCCTGGACATGGGGCTCCCCCTGCTAAGTCACCCCTCTTCCTGGAACCCAACAGGGCAGCTGATGCCCTTCTCAAGGCTGTGGCAGCCAGCAGCGTGGCGGAGAAGGCCGTGGAGGCAGCTCGGATGGCCAAGCTGATAGCGCAAGACCTGCAGCCCATGTTAGAAGTCCCAGGTGAGGAGGCGAGGGTGGTCCTCGGGACGGACACCCAGCGGTGAACAGGGTATGCTTGGGGGCGCAGGTCCACTCATCTGAGGGGAAGAAGTGGGCGTTGATGAAGCAGGATCGTGAGGACAAGCAGGGGGATTCTGCCCTGAGATGAGCCTGGAGCAGCGAGTCCTGGAGGGTCCCAGACTGCAGCTGCTCGTTGGAGCCGAGGCCACCCAGGCCCCCTGATTCCCGCCTCTCCCCACCCCAGGCCGCAGACCCCGGCAGGACTCGGAAGGTTCCGACACAGAGCCCTTGGATGAGGATAGCCCCGGGGTGTACGAGAACGGACTGACCCCCTCCGAGGGCTCCCCCGAACTGCCCAGCAGTCCCACCTCCGCCCGCCAACCCTGGAGACCCCCTGCCTGCCGGAGCCCACTGCCTCCTGGACGGGACCACCGAGGTCCCTTCTCCAGCCCCAAAGCTTGGCCTGAGGAGTGGGGGGGGCCTCGGGGAGCAGGCCGAGGAACTCGCTGGCTACGAGGCCGAGGACGAGGCGGGCATGCAGGGGCCCAGGGACGGCTCCCCACTCCTGGGAGGCTGCAGTGACAGTTCCGGAAGTCTCCGTGAGGAGGAGGGGGAAGACGAGGAGCCCCTGTCCGTGCTGAGAGCCCCAGGGAGCCTGGAGCCTGACCGCCTGACCACAGCGGTCCTGCGGGGACCATCCCTGAGGGGCCCCGACGCGGGGTGCCTGATGGAAGAGCAGGAGGAGCCAGTTGCCACCGAGAGGCCTGCCCAGCCGGTGAGACCCTGCCCCCACCCTCTCCCACTGTGCACCCTCCGACTCTCCTCCTGTTTGCTCCCTCCGCTCCTCCCAGCCCTGCCCAGAGGGGCTGTGATGGAGCCTCGGCCTTATTCTCTGCCTGCGACCACAGTCCACCTCAGAAACAGAGAGAGCAGGGCCTGAGACGCGGCTCAAAGGGGCTAGAGCATCAGCTTTGCATGCAGGAGACCTGGGTTTGATTCTCCTGTGCTGTCCAATCCACTGAGCACTATCGGGAGAGAACAGCACCCAAGCCTTGTGCTGGAAGTACCCCTGAAGCTCCACTCAGGGTGGCCCAGAAACTGAAATGAAACATAAAATAAAAAAAAGAGGAGGACCAGAAACCAACTTAGAGATGGTCATGTCCAGCTCCCTAGCTTACTAGCTGGGGAACTGAGGCCCAGTGCTGCAAGTAACTTTGCCCTGGGTTACAGACTAGTAATTAACCAGAACATCTTTCCCTGTTCTCCTTCCATATCATTTCCAGCTCCCAGTTTCCTACTCCACCCCCGCCCCCACCTCCACACTTTCTCTCTTTGGTGCCCAGAAATAAAAAGGGAAAAGCGTGTTCCCTCCCTACCCTGACTCTCCCTCCCTCTCCTGGGAAGAAGGGAAATAGGAAAGAAGGCAGAAAACCAGGAAGGGCGGGGCTTTCTCAGAACCCTCTGCTCTGATTGGACCCCAGGCCTCCTCCGGTCTCCTAGCAACCACATCCTCATCCCTTTCTCCCTCTGCTTTACCGCAGTACTGGCTGCTGCTGCCAACGTCTGCTCCCAAGGCTAGGCACCTTCTGCCTGGGCCACGTGACATGCTGGTGGGAGGGAAGAGGAGGGAGGAGGGAGGGAGGGCCTGTTCTGACTTGAGGGAGCCAGAAGAGAAGGTGGAGCTGTGCATGGGAGACGACAGGGGTTTTGCAATCTAGAATACATGTTGGCAGCCAGTCCCCTCCCCCCCACCCCCCGAGTCTGAGGAGAGGTGTCTGGGGTCTTTTTCCGCATCTACCTCAGACAAGGCAGGAAGGTGGGAGCTGTTCTGGACCTGAGCCTGCATTTTCCCTTCTCTCTAGGGAGCTGCCAACCCCCTGGTGGTGGGCGCCGTGGCCCTCCTGGACCTCAGCCTGGCATTCCTGTTCTCCCAGCTCCTCACCTGAGGCTCCTTCTTGGCCTAGTTCCGGCTTCGATCGCGGCCTCTGGGCTCCTTCGGCCTGCCTTTACTCCTTCCCCTCCTGGTCATTTTTTTTCTCCTTTCTTTCTCTTCTCCCTCTTCCTTTCTTTTCTGCCCCCCCACGGTTTTTTTTTCCATCTCTTGCTTTTTCTTTCTCTTCTCCTTTCAGACCCTCTCATTTATTCTGGACCCCCATCTCTGTCTCCCTCCCTCCCCTGCCTTCTCTCTCTCTCTAGATTGTTTACATATGAAGGGCTTTTCTTGCTCAGAGTTGCTCTCTTCTCTGAGATATACAAATCTAAGTCAGACCATTGCCCCTTGCCCTCCCTGCCTTTTCTTTAGACCTGAATTTTGAGGAGGGTGGGGGTTTGGTGTCCTGATGAGCGGAGAGAAGGAAGACAGTGGAGTAGGAGTGACTAAATATTGGGCAAGGCACTGGCTGAGCTACTGCGGCTCCTCGGGACCGACACCCAGGGGCCCTCTGACACCTCCTGAAAAAGCCCTCAAAGATGCAGCCTCCGTTTTTGACCTTGGCGGAGCCTTGGTCTTGCCTCCAAGCCCTAGCCTAGGCTCTTGTCCCACCCGACCCTTGGTCTTTGAAGGGGATAAAAGAACGGAGAGGAAGAGGCTCCCTGGCATCTCTTCCTGAGCCACAGCACCCCCTGTCCAACCCCCGGCTGGTGTGTGTTATGTCAAGAGTGATCGATCCATAATGGAGAGGGACGGTCCGAAGCAGCCGAGTCCACCCCACTCCTCCTCTCCCCACCGTGTTTATTTGATTGGTCTGGACTCACTTGTGGCCTTTGATTAAATTTCTAAGGGGCCTGAAGAAGAATTCAATTTCTACTGCAGAAGGTTGAGAGGCGCTCGAGCAAGGGCCCCGGTCCCAGCCCAGGCACCTGTGGCAGGGGCAGGGGCAGGGTTGGGGTGGGGATGCCCATCCTGGGGAACGGAACCAGAGGAGAAAGCATGGAGTCACAGGCACAGAGGCCAAGGACTCAGTAGGTGGTGGGTCGCATCCCCCAGCTGGAAGCGTGTGGAGGATGGGAACACAAGAGAAGGAAGGGGTCACAGGAAGCCAATCTCCCCACTTTCCAGGCAGGGCAGAGGTGGGAGCCGGGCCGGGGTGAGAGCTGGTGAAGAACCCTGAGGACGCTGTGGCTGACCCTGGTACTCACTTTTCCCCTGGGGACAGGAAGCCCTAGGAAAAGGGGCCAGTGGGGTCCCTGGGGGATCCTTCCCTCCCCTGCATGAGGCAGAGGCAAGCTGCCTGCCCCCCTTCTCCAAGGAATGGCTTGCCTGGGAATGCCCACCACACACCCTCTTCTTTTTTTCTAGTCAAACTCTGTTTACTCCTTGGCCTGCCTCCCTCCTTCCTCTCCTCTCAACCTTTACTTCTGATTTCTATTTCATGGAATTTGGGATTGAAGTTCAACTACAACAGTGCCGCCAACACCAAGTCTTGCAGGAAAAAAAAAAGAAATTTAACAAAAAAAAAATATATTAATAAAAAAGTTCAAAAAAGGGGGGAGATTGTCATCTCCTTTGGGGGTGTGATGACTTCACACCTAAACTTTCTGCGGTTCCGGTGGTGAGAATGTACCTAAAGCCCTCTCGGGGAACCGCGGGCCTGTGACCGGCTGTCTCCATCACCCCCTGTGATTTAGGGTTTTCTCTCCATTAAAGGAAAAAAAAACTGCAACCAAGGTCCGGAGAACGAGGAATCAAGAAAGTTCAGGGGCTGGAGTGCTAGAACAACGGGTAGGGCTCTTGCCTTGCACGCAGCCAACTCATGTTCAATCCTCAGCATAGCATATGGTCCCCTGAGCACCGCCAGGAGTAATTCCTGAGTGCAGAATCTGGAGTAACCCCTGACCGTCGCCGGGTGTGGCCACCAAAAAAAAAAAAAGGATGCACCAGGGAGGCGTGGCCTCGCGGGGGCGGGACCAAAGGCGGCCACGCCCCGTCCTGCACCAGGAAGCGCTGGGGGGAGAGGACGAGAGGAGGCAGGTGAGGTCAGCGCAGGACCGGCTGGCGTGGGGAAACTAAAGCTGCATGAGACCTGGGAAGGCATCCCGCGGAGGAAAGCATCCAGGGCTCCGGGAGGAAAGGGATGGCAGAAGTGGGATGGGAAACCAGGTGGAGTGGAGGGGTGGGGGGGGAGGCCAGGAGGGCTCCCGGCGCATGCGCGGGCGGGGGCGGGGCGCGGCGCGGTGCGGCGCATGCGTGGTGGCGAGCTGCCCGGGCTTGGAGGGGCTCGAGGGGGTTTCCCTACGCACGTGGGCAAAGGGTAAAGGTAGCTCCTGGACCCTTAGGATCTGGGCACCAGGGCAGGCCTGGGCAAGAAAGGCCCGGCTGTCCCGGCCACGGAGGATTAACGCCCTTCCCGTCCCCGGTCCCTGCACCCCCCGCCCCTCCCCAGGATGGTGGGACTTTCGCTGAAGCTTCAGGACCTGATCGAGGAGATTCGCGGGGCCAAGACCCAGGCCCAGGAGCGGGAGGTGATCCAGAAGGAGTGCGCCCACATCCGGGCCTCCTTCCGTGATGGGGACCCTCTGCACAGGCACCGCCAGCTGGCCAAACTGCTCTACGTCCACATGCTGGGCTACCCTGCCCACTTTGGACAGGTACTGGGCTGGGCCTCAGAGACACACACACGCACACTGCACACGTCCTAGTTTGCTTAGGGGAACCAGTGGGCAAGGTCTCTGACCTGCCCACTTCACCTGCTGTGCCCCTGTTTTTCTGATTATAGCATTATTTCTGTGTCTTCAGCACACACCTCCCATCCCCTTCCCCGATTGGTCCTGTACTGGACCCCACTGTGGCCGTTCCGCATGTTTTCTCTCTTCCCGCATCCCGTCAACTCTGCTTTCAGGGAGGGTGATGGGATATGGGTCCCCAGCAGGCTGATCAGCTGGTATGGAAGATAGAAAGGGGATGTTGAGTGCCTACAGTGTGACCCCTGCCCCCTTCCCTGTAGATGGAGTGCCTGAAACTGATCGCCTCCCCCAGATTCACAGACAAGAGGGTGGGATACCTGGGGGCCATGCTTCTGCTGGATGAGAGTCAGGATGCCCACCTGCTCATTACGAACAGCATCAAGAAGTGAGAGGGTCCTGGGAAGCACTTGGAATCAGGGAGATGGGAGAGGGGAACATGGAAATCCAAGGGGGCTGCCTGCTGGAGCCGCCAGGCTCACCCCTAGTTCACAGGTTTGACCAACTGTCATCCCACCCCCCCCACACACGCTGCAGTGACCTGAGCCAGGGGGTTCCTGCCGTCCAGGGCCTGGCCCTGTGCACCCTGAGCACCATGGGCTCTGCTGAGATGTGCCGGGACCTGGCGGGTGAGGTGGAGAAACTGCTCCAGCATTCCAGCCCCTATGTGCGCAAGAAGGTGAGACGGTGGGGTTCTAGGTACTCACCCGTGAAGAAACTGGCCCCTGTTTGTCATAAGGTAGAAGTGGAGGGCGTGCGGGGGGCATACGGTCAGAGTGATAGTACAGCGGGTAGGCCTTTGCCTTCCATAGGGCTGACTTGGATTCAATCCCCAGCTTCACATATGGTCCCCTAAGCCCTGCAAGGAGTAATTCCTGAACACAGAGCCAGGAATAAACCCTGAGCACCAATCGATATGGCTCAGAGACTACCAAAAAAAAAAAAAAGGGGGGGGTGGGGGGGCACTTGCCTTGCATGTGGCCAACCCAGCTTTGATCCCCAGAACCTCATATGACCCACCAGGAGTAATTCCTGCACTCAGAGTCAGGAGTAACGCCTGAGCATTACTGAGCATTGCCAGGTGTGGCACAAAACAAAAAGAAGGGCTGAAGCGATAGCACAGCGGGTAGGGCGTTTGCCTTGCACGCGGCCAACCTGGGTTCGATTCCCAGTATCCCATATGGTCCCCCGAGCACCGCCAAGGAGTAATTCCTGAGTGCATGAGCCAGAAGTAATCCCTGTGCATCGCTGGGTGTGACCTAAAAAGCAAAAAATAGAAGAAAAAAAAAGGATTAGAAGTGGGACGAGGTGTCCATCTCGGAGCATGCCCACCCTTCTCAGCCTGTGACCCCTGCAGGCTGTCCTGACGGCGGTACACATGATCCGGAAGGTGCCCGATCTCTCCACCATCTTCCTCCCTCCCTGTGCCAAACTGCTTCACGAGCGCCACCACGGTAAGACCCAGGGCTCCTGCTCTGACACAGCACTGCCCACCCCGAAGCGCCAGATGACCATCCTCGCTTTCCCACCCCGACCCCAGGCATCCTACTGGGCACCGTCACACTGATCACGGAGCTCTGTGAGCGAAGCCCGACGGCCCTCAAGCACTTCCGAAAGGTGGGTTGCCTGTGGGCGGGGGAGGGGACCGGGGAGGAGGTCACACAGGGCCACCGCTTGTGGGGTGTTTTGAGAGTTTCCGGGTAAGGCTGTGTTGTGTGTTCCTGTAGGTGGTGCCCCAGTTGGTGCAGATCCTCCGGACACTGGGCACGACGGGCTACTCGTCAGAGCACAGCATAGCAGGAGTCAGCGACCCCTTCCTGCAGGTGGGCAGCCCCGTCCCTGCTGTGTCCCCAAACAGAGGGGAGCTGTGGAAGACACTGGCTCAGGGCAGACCCAGGGCACCTGAGACCCATGCAGGGAGGGAGGACGCCTGAGGAGAGCAGCCTGTAGGGTAGGTCAGGGGCCGCAAGGTGGGTCTGCAGGATGGCCTTCGCCTTGCATGCAGGAGCCTGGGTTCCATCCCTGGCACTGTGCAGCTGTGCTCAGGGCTTACTCCTGGCTTTGTGCTCAGCGATCACTCCTTGTGGGGCTCAGAGGACCACATGGCATGCACCAAGCTGGGTGTTGTCCCTGAGCACCACCATGGCTGGCCCAAAGAAGTATGTCCTCCCCCCCACCCTCAGATCCCCAGCCTCACACACCTCTGGTCCCCTCCCAACCTCTAAAGGCGCTGAGGAGGGGCTGGAGAGATAGCACAGCGGGTAGGGCATTTGCCTTGCACGCAGCCGACCCAGGTACAATTCCCAGCATCCCATATGGTCCCCTGAGCACCGCCAGGAGTAACTCCTGAGTGCAGAGCCAGGAGTAACCCCTGTGCATTGCCAGATGTGACCCAAAAAGAAAAAAAAAAAAAAAGGCGCTGAGGAGAGTTGGGTCAGGAAAGCTCTCAGGATGCTTTCCCCGACCCTGCTTCTTCTCCCGCTCTGAACCGCTTCCTCCAACTGCAGGTCCAGATCCTGCGTCTGCTGCGGATTCTGGGCCGGAACCATGAGGAGAGCAGTGAGGCCATGAATGACCTTCTGGCCCAGGTGGGACCCAGGCATAGTTAGATGGCAGGGGGTAGGGGGTGAGGTGACATGGTGGAGCCCGTCACACTGCTTCTTCACCATCCACTCAGGTGGCCACCAACACCGACACCAGCCGGAACGCGGGCAATGCTGTCCTGTTTGAGACAGTGCTGACCATCATGGACATCAACTCTGCTGCTGGCCTGAGGGTAGGGCCCCACCCCCCAGCGTTCAGCAGCCTCATAGGTCCTGGTGTCTGGGGGGTTGCAGGCCACACCCGGTGGTGCTAGTGCTATTCCCAAGCCACTCTCAGGGGTAGCTCCAAGCCATGCCAAAAACGGAAGCCAGGAATGCCGTGTGCAGTGGACGCATGCCAGCGCTCCAAGCCATGTCCCTGGCCCCTGGCAAGGCCGGGTCTCTGGGGTCTCCTGCCCACCCCTCTTGGACTTCCAGCCCCCACCCACCTCCCGCAGGTTCTAGCTGTCAACATTCTCGGCCGCTTCCTGCTCAACAACGACAAGAACATTAGGTATGGCCCCGGGGGTCCTCCGCCCTTCTCCCTGGGCCCAGGTCAGGGGCGCTGGCTGCCACACGACGGACGGGTCCTGTCCACTCTGGCCAGGTACGTGGCGTTGACGTCCCTGCTGCGGCTGGTGCAGACAGACAACAGCGCCGTGCAGCGGCACCGGCCCACCGTGGTGGAGTGTCTGAGAGAACCGGACGCCTCCCTCGGCCGGTGAGCAGCCCGAGGACAAGGCTGGAGGGATGGGAAGTGGGAAGGGCGCTCGGTCCGGCCCTGACCCGCCCGACCTCGTCCACCAGGCGGGCCCTGGAGCTGAGCTTGGCGCTGGTGAACGGCTCCAACGTGCGGGCCATGACACAGGAGCTGCAGCACTTCCTCGAGACCTGCCCCCCGGAGCTGCGGGCCGACTGCGCCTCAGGCATCCTGCTGGCAGCCGAGAGGTGAGCGGGCTGGACTCCAGGAGCAGGGGACTGCACTTGGGAGGGCCACTGCGAGCACTGAGTGAGGAGCCCACCGTCCCCTAGGTTTGCCCCGACAAAGCGGTGGCACATAGACACCATCCTGCGCGTGCTGACCACGGTGAGCCGGGGGGCCGGGCCGGGCGCTGGAAGGGGGCACGCTGCGCTGAGCCTGCAGCATGGGCTGGGAGCCGGGGCATTCCTGTGCTGAGTTGGCCGCATTCGCCCCGCCAGGCTGGCGCCTACGTCCGGGATGATGCAGTGGCCAACCTGACCCAGCTGATTGGGGGCGCCCAGGAGCTACACGCCTACTCAGTTCATCGCCTCTACAGTGCCCTGGCCGAGGACATCTCCCAAGTACGTTGCCCCTCACACACACCGGCTCAGTGTTTCCTAAGCTTTCTACCCACTCTCCCCCTCCACCTGCCTCCCAGCTGCTCCTCTCGAGGGCACAGCAGTTTACTTAGAGGGAGAGATGCTCAGGGACACCTTCTTGTTTGTTTCTGTTTTTTTTGTTTTGTTTTGTTTGCTTTTTGGGTCACACCCGGCAGTGCACAGGGGTTATTCCTGGCTCTTGCACTCAGGAATTACTCCTAGCAGTGTTTGGGGGACTCTATGGGATGCTGGGGATCAAACCTGGGTCAGCCATATGCAAGGTAAATGCCCTACCTACTGTACTATCACTCTGGCCCCTGTGTGTTTGTTTTGTTTTTTTTTTTTGTGGTGCCAGGATCCAGTCCAGGATGACAGGCCTGCAGGCGTGGCTCTCTTGCATCGAGCCGTTTCCCTGGAAGCAGAGCTCCATTTCCCGTGAGAACATCTGGGCATCTGTCCCAAATGTGGTACCATTGGACTGTGTAGCCACAGAGAGCCCTTTGACCTTTTGTTCTGTTCCATCTGCTTGGCTTCTGATGTGGCCTACCTACCGGGCTATCCGGAGGCCTCAGTGCTCGGGAGCTAACATAGCACGAGCTCTCAGGGCTGGAGACATAATACGGTGGGGAGGGCGCTTGCCTGCACCCACAACAGACCTGGGTTCCATCCCTGGCACCATGTCTGGTCCCCTGAGCCCTGCCTGGAGTGATCCCTTTGTGTAGAGCCAGGAGTAAGCCCTGAGCACCACCAGGTGTGGCCCCCACCTGCCTATCCCCCCACCCCCAAAAGATATCAGCTCTCTACATGTTTTTTTTCCTACATGTTTTAAGTTTTATTGCTCCCTTGAATGCTGAGTGAGTTCACAGATGCCAGCCAGTAACTGTTGCCCCCTAAACATATTAAGTATATTCAAGAGAGAGTCAAGACTCAAGAAAGGGTCCCTTGGGGCCAGATAGATGGTACAAGGGTTAGATGCTTGCCTTGTATGCGGCTGACTCTAGTTCAGAGCCTGAGCCACTCCAGCTGTAACCCCTGAGCAGCGCCTTTGTGGCCCCAAACCGGAACCAACTCATTCACAGAGAGAGGGACCCTTCCTTTTCTGCCCTCATTAGGACATCCTAGCATCCCTCCTGCTCAGACCATGTCGTTCTGGTGCTTGGCCGCCAGAGGGCAGATAACTCCAGCGGGTTAGCCAGACTGCCTTCCCCCCCTAGCTAGCATCTCTTCCCAGTGAGGAGGCACCAGCATAGGCCTAGCTTTTTTATTTTATTTTTATTTGGGGGCGCAGAGGGTCCTGCAATGCCAGGGATCAGATCCAGAGCCTGCCTGATCCAGAGTCAGGCATGTATTCTACCACTTGGGCCTGGGCCCCCCCAGCCCAGCACATTTCTGACCCTCATACAGCAGCCACTGGTGCAGGTGGCAGCCTGGTGCATTGGCGAATACGGAGACCTCCTGCTGGCCGGGAGCTGCGAGGAGACCGAGCCCCTTCAGGTGAGACCACAGCGGGGGAGAGGGCATGCTGTGTGTTGGGGGCGGGGGAGAGGCTGGCCCCCGGGCTCCGACCTGTGCCCACCCTACAGGTGGAGGAGGAGGAAGTGCTGGCACTGCTAGAGAGGGTGCTGCAGTCCCACCTGTCCCTGCCAGCCACCCGAGGGTATGCCCTCACCGCCCTCATGAAGCTCAGCACCCGGTTCAGCGGGGACATCAAGTAAGAAGGGAGGGGCCGGAGCCATGGCCCTTGCACACTGCCTGGCCGGGTTCAATCCTCGGCACCCCATATGGTCCCCTGAGCCCCACCAGCATTGATCACTGAGCAGAGCCAGGAGTAAGCCCTGAGCACAGCTGGGTGTAGAGGAGACCCTTCGCCCACCCAAGAGCCTTTTCATGGCCCCTCTCAGGAGAGGTGGCCATCACTGCGACCCCCAGTCCTTTGGTCCTTCCTGTTAGCAAGTGGTGCTCACCCCTCCTGCCCCACGCCACAGTCGGAGAAAAGCTCTGACTGACTACCCCACAACACCCTGTGTCCAGTCGCATCCGCCAGGTGGTGTCCATCTACGGGAGCTGCCTGGATGTGGAGCTGCAGCAGCGGGCCGTGGAGTATAACGCACTCTTCCGGAAGTACGACCACATGAGGTGCGACCACACCCACCCCCGCCTGCTCTCCCTGGCCCCTTTGTGGACAGCAGGGTCTGGGCTCCCCCACCCAAGGTTCTCTGGAGCTCAACTGGCTTCCTAGACTCCCTGCTAAGGGAGTCAGAGGCATGTCTGACCCATGTGCCCGGGGCTGTCTGGGCCCCACGCCCCCCATCCCCTGCATTGCATCACACACACACAACACACACACACATCCTTGCCACCTGGCACGTCTGACCCATGTGCCCAGGACACATGGTCCCACGCCCCCCATCCCCTGCATCGCACACACACACACACACACACACCCTTGCCACTGGGCACAAGGGTGCCTTCTGACCTCACAGGGCTGCCATCCTGGAGAAGATGCCGCTTGTGGAGCGAGGTGGCCCTCAAGCTGACGAGGAAGACAGGGAGGGCCAGAAGGAAGAGGCCCAGGCTGTAGAAGCGTCCCCTGTGCCCGCTGAGCCCCCGGTGAGGAGACCGGGGGCGGGGGGGGTGCCCAACGTGAGGAACACTGGTCAGGTTCTGTCCCCAACCCTGACTCTCTGCCTGTCCCCAGGCCTCGAATCTCCTGGATCTCTTAGATCTCCTGGATGGTCCTCCTGGGGAGGGCCCCCCGCCACCCTCGCTGGCCCCCTCCCGAGAGGGCACCCTGATTCACCTCCTGGACCTCCCCTGTGTGCCTCCATCCCCGAGTAAGCCTCAGGAAAGGGAGATGTTGGGGAGGTGGGGGAGGCTTGGCACCCTTTGCCCTGCTCTGTCCCCACCATGTCCCCATATGGGCCTGCTTCCAGCTCATCCCGTGTCTCCACTACCTGACCCCCTCACCCCCACCCACAGCCCCTTAGGGCGCCTCAGACCTATCCCAGCAAAGCCAGACAGTTCTGGCCACACCTGAAAGCGCTGAGGCCACTCCTGGCAGTGCTTGGGGGACCATGTGTGGTGCCAGTTTTTCCTTCCCACTAGTCCCTGCTGCAGCCCCACGCAAAGCTAGTGCCTTAGCCTTTGCGCCTAACCTTAATTTCTCCAGCCCTTCGGTGGGATGTTCTTTTCCTGGCACATCCAGTGACCCGGCTCAGTGTCACCCTTCAGGTCTCAGTGCAGGTGTTAAATGCCCTTCCCTGGCGCTTCCCTTCCCGCACAGTTTTCTCAGAGTACCTGTCCCCGAGTCTCTCCCTGGTTGCCCTGTTCGTTGCTTCTCTTTCTCCATAGCCTGGGCTCCAGCAGGGACCTCCCTTGTGCCTGGGGTCCCCTGGGCAGTGTCTGTCCCCAGTAGGGTGTCTGGCTTCACTCCTGTCGGGCGCAGGAGCAAGCGCACCCCGTCCACACCCTGACTGTCTCTCTCCCTGCCCCAGCTCCCATCCCGGACCTCAGAGCCTTTGAACGTGACGGGCTGCGGCTGGACCTCTCTTTCCTTCGCCCCCCGGAAACCCCTGCTCTCCTCTTAGTCACCGTCACCGCTACCAACACCTCGGAGGGTGACGTCACCCACTTCATCTGCCAGGCGGCCGTGCCCAAGGTTTGTAGAAGACCAGGGCTCAGAGAGGTGTTCTGGGCCCGGGGGTGGGGGGAAGGGTGCGAGGGGCCTTCTGGGCCCGGAGGGTGGGGGGAAGGGTGCGAGGGGCCAGCCTCACCCCGCCCAACTGGACTCCTGTGTCAGAGCTTCCAGCTGCAGCTGCAGGCCCCCAGTGGGGACACCGTCCCAGCCCAGGGTGGCCCTCCCGTGACCCAGCTCCTCCGAATCCTCAACCCTGACAAGGTGAGCGCCGGGGACAGCACCTCACCCCCACCTCCGGCTGGCGAGGCGCCACCAGTCCCAGTATCCACCCTCGTGTTCCTAGGCCCCCCTACGGCTCAAGCTGCGCCTCACCTACAACCACCTAGGCCAGTCGGTGCAGGAGATCTTCGAGGTGAACAACCTGCCCCTGGCCACCTGGCAGTAACTCAAGAACCTATTCCAAGGGAGTCCAGCAGGGGGCGCCTCAGGCCTGCGCTTGCCTCCGCAGGCGCTCAGGGGCCTCCCCCCTTCTGCCCCACCCCCCACCCCTGGGTAACACCGAATAAAGCTTGCTGGGGGGAGCCGTATAATAGGGGTACCCGGAGGGAGAAGTCGTCTGTAACATCCAGGGAAGAGCCTCTTAGACATATGCGAGCTCCTCTGAGCCTTAGGAACGGGATGGCCCGACCCGCTCTGGGTAGAGATCCGGCCCCTCGAGTTTCCAGGCCCCTAGTAGGAATCCCCAGGCTCCGCCCCGGCCCGGCCCGCTGCTATTCCCTGCATCCCAAGGTAGGGAAATCCCCACTGCCTCCCCTCATCTCTAACTCAGCTGTAAGGCGGTTTAGGAGCCGCTGGCAGAATCAATGGCATCGACCAAGGGAGGGGGGGTGGCAAGGGATTTTCCTGTGCTTAACTACTGATCACGGCTAAGTGGAAATCCTATAAACACGAGCGGAAATCAATGGAGGCTGCTTAGCGGCCAGGGGAGAGGGGCGGCCCACAGATTGCATCTGACGGATGGGGGAAGAGGAGGCAGCCAGGGCGAGGGCTCCAGGAAAGAGCCGAGGCTGAGGGCAGGGGGTAGGCACGGTCCCCGCTGCAGGGCCGGGAGTCTGGGCTGGGGAAGCCCGGGCAGGAGGCACGCTGAGCCAGGGCGACCCAGAAGTCTCTTTGCCGGTGAGGAGCAACACCCGGGCCCGCTGACCAGCCAGCCAGCTACTGGGCTTCCTGGGGCTTCTTTGTCTGTGACTTGGAGGCCTCGAGCAGGTGTAGATAGTCCTGAGGCCGGAAGCGTTGGAGATACACAAGCAGTTTGGCAGGTGCCTTCTCCTGTGTGGGCACACCTACAGGCAAAAAGGAGAATGAGAAAAACGAGGCAGAGCTGCCGCGACTCGCACTGTGCCCCCCACCCGTCCCAGCCGGGACCCCTGGTGGTTTCACTGGCCTGGGGGAGCGGGCCTGAACGGGTCCTGCCGGCACAGAGACACAGACGGTGAAGAGGCGCTTGAGCACCGGCAGACAGAAGGGGCCTCAACAGGGACTTCGTTTCGGTTATTGCTCCTGTCGCAAGATTAAAGCCTTCTCGGAGCCGACCAGAGCTCATTAGCTTGGTAATGAAGCACACGCAGAGATGCATGCCAAGAGAAAAAACGAGGGCTGCAGGAAGAGAAGGGAGGCCGCTCGTCTGGAATTCCACAGGACGCCAGCCTCTGGGGTGTGCGGCCACTGCAGGCAGGTGTCACTGTTGGTGGCTGGCAGCGTGCTGGGCACAGAGCAGGGAATACAGCTCTGCCTGCTTGCGGAGATGAAAACACATCCCGGCACTGCAGGCCCCCCCAGGAGGGGACACGAAAGCCAAGCCCAGATTTCTCTGCACCTACAAGGGAGCCGACGCCTGCCCCACAGTGCTCATGGGCCTTTCACTGAAAGCCAACAGAACAAATAGAGGATCTGGGTAGCCGTCCACCAAGATGTTAGGAGGAGGAAGGGGGGCAGGGGTGGAGGGTGAGTACACTGGGCAGGGCAACTGCCTTGCAGGTTTGATGCCCTACGAAGAGTGATCCTTGAGCACTGCTCCGTGTGGCTCAAAAAGTAAGGGAGAGAACTGACCGGGAGACCTGAAGTGACCAGGGGCAAGAAAAATGAGGGGGATCGCTGGGGTCCCACAGGGGGAAAGGCTGGAAGGCAGGTGAGCGAGCCTCGCGGGAGGGAAACTGGAGCCCTACCAAAAAGCCAGCTGGGTCCCCTAGGTAAGGCGGGAGAGGGACCTGTGACCGAGACACGCGCACATGTCACGTCCTGAGCGGAAAGGGGGGCCGCCCTTGGCCTCACCGAGCATGCTGCTGAGCTGGAGGATCTCCTCTAAGGCAGCGGGGACCTCGGCCTCCTCGCGCACCAGCGCCTCTATCTCCCCGACCGCGTAGCCAAAGTCAGCCGTGTCCAGGTCCACCCGGAGCGGCGCGCCCGCGCAGGGGCCCGAGAGGGATAGCTTCCAGGCGCTGCGCTGCGTCACGAAGCTGGCCACTTCCTGCAGCCGCAGGGGGGCCAGCACCGCAGCCACCCCTCCCGAGGCCGGGGTCTCGGCGCCCAGCAGCTCGCAAAGCCGGGCCACGATCGCGGGCTCGGCCGTGACCTCCACGTATTGGGTGTGGGGGCCCGCGGGGCCGGCCGCCGGCCCGGGACACTTGAACTCCCAGCCGCTGCCCTGGCGAAGGCGCAGCCAGTGGTCGGCCCGCATGAGGCTCAGCGCCGGGGTGTCGTAGTAGCTGTCCCGGAAGGTGAGCCGGTGCTCCAGGCTGCCCCCCAACTCCTGCAACCGTTGCTCGGTGCCAGGCCCCGGCACAAACTTTCGCTCCACTTCGATCATGCCCTCCTGGGCCATGCTAAGCTACAATCAGTCAACAAACACTTGGCTCAGCCTCCCCCGGGGGGAGGGTGGGGGGGGTTGTCTCCACGCCGCAGAGCGGCGACAGTTAACGACCCCCGCAGAGCCCTGGCCCGGCCCGGCTGCAGCTGCGGCGGAGAGTCTGCAAAAGGCCTGCAGGGAACGCCTCGCCCCGCGCTGGCCGCCCACCTCGACCCAAAGGGCCGCCCCGGACGCGGGGCGGGGAAGGGCACGTCTGTCCCGTGCGGGCGGGCCCGGGGAGGGCCCCCGGCGCTCACCTGCAGGCCCCCGGGTCTCCCTCTCGCGGGACCTGCGCACCGGGAAAGGCGCCCACGCCGCGCCCGCGAGGGATGCCGGGAGCGGCCATGTTAGGGCGGACCCGGGACCCACAGGCCCGGTGGCCGCCCACGAGGGCCGGCCGCGACCACGGCGGCGGCGATCCCCCCCAACCGCCCCCCCCACCCCCCGGCTCGGCTGCTCGCCGTCCCCGATCCCCGCCGGCTGCTGGGGGTTCACGAGGTTCCAGGCCTCGGGCTGAGCCCCGCGCCCGCGTGGCGCGGTGCATGATGGGAGTTGTAGTTCCAGCGGGAGCCGGTGCTTTCACGCCTTCCTCCCTTCCCCCCCTACCGTCGCTATGGTGACGGGAAAGCTGTGATTAGTGTCAGCCAGCGGGATTCTAACCTGTAAAGTTGCGCCGGGGCGGTAGGTGGAAGGATCTGAGGCTCCTTGCCTTGGTCCTATTTCCAACCCCCACGCTGCACAGACAGCTGCGCCTGGAATACAGGCCGCTCACACTTTCCGGAAGATCGCACACTGTAATATTACAGTCACCCACAGTGCTGGCCTCTGGCAATGGGCCTACAAAAAAAAAATAACTTACGAGGCCCGGAGAGATAGTACTGAGGGTGATGCCTAAATCCCATCTGATCATCCCCGACACCACGTATAATACTCTCTCTCTCTCTCTCTCTCTCTCTCTCTCTCTCTCTCTCTCTCTCTCTCTCTCTCTTCCCCCCCCCCCCCCCCCCCCACAGCCAGGAGTGATGATCCTTGAGCATAGAGCCTGAGCACAGCTGAGCGTGGCTCCAAATAAACAAAAGACAAAGGGGAAGCTAGGGACCACGAGAGAGTTCGATAGACTGGAGCACACGCTGTGGCACAGCAGGCTTCCCTGAGCATTGCTGGAACATCTAAAAGGGAGTAACCCCTGGGCACCACCAGGGATGGCCCAGAAACTAAAACTATCACGGACCTTTTCACAAACCGTGACGTTTCAGAGGGGTGAATGACTGTTTAGGGTAAGGGCTGATAGGGAATTTTCTGCTTGAAGGAGAAAGTAATATTCTGAGTGGAAAGCTGAAGACCTGAGGGGTTTTCCACAGAAGCCTCGGGATAGCCATATAAATAGGAGACAAGGGCCAGACTGGACAGGCTGGGTTTGGGTTTGGTTTGAAGGCCACATCAGACTCTTCTCAGGTGTTAATCCAAGCTTGGTGTTATGGAGAACTATTTGCTTCTGGGGATGGAACCCAGGTCCCCAGCAAAACATATGCTCCGGTCCTTTGAGCACATTTGGGCCCTGTTGTTTTCATTTGAAAGCCACACCCGGAAATGCTGAGGGGCTGCTCCCTACACAGTGTAGTGTTAGGGGCCAATGTGGTGTCTTGATGGAACCCAGGAAGGATTCCCATGTGAGTCTAGGCCTTTGGGGCTATTTCCCTGTGCCCCTAAGGCAGTTGGTTTGTTACTGAGTTTCCAGTTTTCCAATGGTCACTGAGTAGTCCTTATCAGAGTACTTATGTTAATTTAAAACAATGGGGCCAGAGCAATAGCACAGCGGGTAGGGCGTTTGCCTTGCATGCAGCCAACCCAGGTTCGATTCCCAGCATCCCATATGGTCCCCCAAGCACCGCCAGGAGTGATTCCTGAGTGCAGAGCCAGGAGTAACATCGGCTGGGTGTGACCCAAAAAGCAAAAAAATAAAATAAAATTTTAAAAAAATACTAAAACATTGGGGCCAGACAGACCAATAGTATTGTCTGTCAATACTAGGGCATTGGCAGACTAGGGTAGGGCATTTGTCTTGCATGCAGCTGACCTAGCTTCAATGCCTGGCACCCCATGTGGTCTCTAAGCCCACCAGGAGTGATCCCTGAGTGCAGAGCCAGGAGTAAACCCTGAGCACAACAAACAAAAATATAGATCTCCAGCTAGAGAGTAGTGGAGAGGTTAAGGCATTTGCCTTACATGTGGCCAAACCTGGTTCAAATCCCTGACCCCATATATGGTCCCTCAAGCATCACCGGGGTCACTCCTGAGCACTACCGGGTAGAGACCCCCAAATCCCAAACCAAACAAAAATGTATATCTTATGGCTAGAGAGCTGATCCAAGAGTTAAGGCACGTGTCTTCCAAGCAGCAGACCTCACTTCTATTCCCTATATCATATATATGGTTCCCTGAGCACTACCAGGAGTGACCTCTGAGCACAGTCAGGGGGAGCCCTGGAGCATACTAGGAGTGGCCCAGAAACCAAAGAGAAAACAAAACAAAATTGGGATCAGAGCAATAGTACAGCAGATAGGGCATTTGCGTAGCACAAGGCCGACCTGGATTTGATCTGCGTTGACAAATATGGTCCCCAGGCACAGTCAGGACTAAGCGCTAAGCCCAAGTGGCCAACCCAGGTTTTATCTCCTACATTCTGTATGGTGCTGAGTGATCCCTGAGCAGAGAACCAGGATCAATCTCTTTTTTTCTTAAATTTACTCTTATTGAATCACTGTGAGATAGACCCTTATTTTATTTATTTATTTATTTATTTGCTTTTTGGGTCATACCCGGCGATGCTCAGGGGTTACTCCTGGCTCATGCACTCAGGAATCACTCCTGGCAGTGCTCGGGGTCCACATGGGATGCTGGGAATCAAACCCGGGTTGGCCATGTTGGCTGCGTGCAAGGCAAATGCCCCACCCACTGTGCTATCGCTCCAGCCCCAAGATAGACCCTTATAAAGCTGTTCATGATTAGGTTTCAGTCATACAGTGTTTCAACATCCATCCCTCCACCAGTGTACATTTCCCAGTACCAGTGTCCCCAGGTTCCCTCCCATCACCCCAGCTCCTACCCTGCCTCCCTTTTTAGCGGTTCAGCAGGCTCTCTCTCTCTCTCTCTCTCTCTCTCTCTCTCTCTCTCTCTCTCTCCCCCTCTCCCCCCCCCCTTTTGGGCATTGTGGTTTGCAATATTGATATTGAAAGGCTGTCAAGAGCATCCATCCCTTTACCTACTTTTAACACTCAGTTCTTATCCAGCATGATCATTTCCAGCTATTATTGTCATACTGGTCCCTTCTCTATCTTACCTACCTTCGTTCCCCCCCCCCCCCCACATTTGTGACTGGTTCCAACCACTGACCAGTCCTATTATCCCTCCAAGAGTCAATCTTGAACACCACCAGGTGTGGCACAAAAACAAATTGTGTGGATGGGAGGCACTCTCAGTGTAGCTCTGGGACTACCTACCCTCTGCAGTAAGGATCAGTTCTAGCCGTGCTCAGGGCACCATCCTGTGTCAGGGACCAAACTCCAGGCTCCAGACCCTTGGGTTCTCCCTCTTCACTGGTCCCCAGCTTCACTTTTCTATGTTTGACCTTGTTTTGTTGTTGTTGTTGCTTAGTTTTGTATTAGGGCCATACCCAGCAATGTTCAGAGCTTACTCCTGTCTCTGTGCTTAGGGATCACTCCTGGCAGGCTTGGGGTACCATATGGGGTGCCAGGGATGGAACCTGGGTCCGTAGTGTGCAAGGCTAACTCCCTACCTACTGTATTATCACTTCCACCTGTGTTTGACCTTGGGAAGTCATCACATGGCCCAAAACTTGTTTTATCATTGGTGGTGTGAAGTTTCATTCACAGACTCACAGAATCTTCCAAATGTTCTTCTTCCTTACCTGCCCCCCATCCACACACACCCACACCTGCCTGCGTCACCTTCTCAGTCTCTCCCCAGAGAAGTAGAAGCTAGCTAATGTGTCACAGCTGCTGTTGCCTAGTCGATTCCTGATGGTGTAACTTGACTGGCCCTGACCACAGGCCCTGGTTTTCTCAGCAGTAAAACGGCAGTCACTGTGAGGATCAAATAAGGTGATGTTTGGGAACGTGCTGGAACTGGAACTGGAACTGGGCACTCCATACGTCTTTTGCCAGTCTGCTTACTAGAAACACACACACACACACCTTGTTGTGAGCTGCCCAGGATGAGGTCTGGGCGCTCAGGGTCCTCCACTGGGACAACTCACTGCTGTGCAAAGTCAAGGTTCTAGTAACCAACCGGGAGGCGGGGGAAGTGGAACTTGGGAGTGGGGGAGAAAAAGAGAGGCCTCGGGCAGCCTTGGGAAGCTGGCAGAAACCAGGACTTGCTATATAGTGTTTTTTTTTTTTCTTTCAGGGTCACACCTGGGGATGCACAGGGCTTTCTCCTGGCTTTGCACTCAGGAACTGCTCCTGGCAGAGCTCAGGTGACCATATGGGGTGCTGGGAATCGGCCGCATGCAAGGCAAACGCCCTACCCGCTGTCACTCCCGCCCCTGAAAAGCAGTTTTAAAAGAAAAAACGCATGTGGGCAAGGGGAAGAGGAGAGAGACAGCCAGGCAGAGAGACAGAGACAGACAGAGACACTCAGAGAGAGCGAGAGCGAGAGCGAGAGAGAGAGAGAGAGAGAGAGAGAGAGAGAGAGAGAGAGATCGATTAAAGGCTTCCAGCTCGGCAGGGACCAGCCACAGAGCTGGCGTCGGGGAAAGGCAAGTGGCCCGGCCGGGCGCAGCCCCCGCTTGGCTGACTCGGGGTTCCCACCCACTGCTTGACGCGGCCCAGCGGACGCCCGCGGCCGGCGCGCGGGGCGGGGGCGGGGCGGGACTACAAGTCCCGGCATGCACCGCGGCGGGCGGGCCGCTGCACCTGCTCAGTGGGGCCGCCCCGGGCGCCTGGGTATTGATTATTCCATTGTGTGGGACGCCTCGGCTCCAGCCAGTGAATGAGGCGGAGGCGTGAGGGCGAGGAGGAGGAGGAGGAGGAGGAGGAGGGTGAGGAGGAGGAGGAGGAGGAGGCAGGGAGCGAGCGAGTGCCCAGGGTGAATCAATGGAAACCCCCTCACGAAGCCGGGAAAGCACTTCAGCCGCAGCCAAATAGCATTGATTATTTTCCTTCACTTCCCTCGCCGCCGCGAATTTATTTATTTATTTATTTATTTTTTTCCCATCTCCGTCCCCGACGCCCGGGAGTGAGCGCTGGAGGGAGGGAGGAGGAGGAGGAGGAGGAGGAGGAGGAGGGGAAAAAAAAAAAAGGAATCAACACATCGGAGAAGTCCCTTGCAAGAGCCGCCCCCTCCCCTCCCCGCCTAGCGCTGCGCGGCGGCCGCGGTTCGACTCCCGTCC